TGGGTTCAATTCTGGCCAAGGGCACGTGCCTGGGTGGTGAGCTCCAGCTCCAGCAGGGGGCATGCAGGAGGCAGCTGATCCATGATTCTCTCTCATCACTGATGTTTCTCTCTCTCTTCCCCTCTCCTTTCCTCTCTGGCATCAATAAAAATATTTAAAAATAACGATAAAGGGCTCCAGGCGGCTCTGTCAGGAGCTGTCTGGGGGGCGGATCCAGGGGGAGTGTCTGGTCTCACAAGAGGAATGCGGTGTGAGCCACAGGGAACATGGGTGTGAAAGGATGGGGAGGCCAGCTCCCTCCCAGAGATGGGGGGAGGGAGGACGTGGATCCATTGTCTGCTCAGACCTGGTGCCAGGAACACGGCTGCCTGCCAGGCCGGGTCTCCCCCAGGCCGGGTCCCTCCCAGGCCGGGTCCACCCCAGACCAGGTCCCCCCCAGGCCGGGTCCCCCCCAGGCCGGGTCCCTCCCAGGCCGGGTTCCTCCCAGGCGGGGTCCCCCCCAGGCGGGGTCCCCCCCAGGCCGGGTCCCTCCCAGGCCGGGTCCCTCCCAGGAGGCTCTGTGGCTCTGACCCCGGAGGCTGCGGCCCCACAGGCGGAGGGGAGGCCGGGTGGGGGGGAGGCCGGGCGGGGGGAAGCCGGGCGGGGGGGGGAGGCCGGGCGGGGGGGAGGCCGGCGGGGGGGGGGGAGGCCGGGCGGGGGGAAGGCCGGGCGGGGGGAAGGCCGGGAGGAGGGAAGGCCGGGCGGGGGGAGGCCGGCGGGGGGGAGGCCGGGCGGGGGGAGGCCGGGCGGGGGGGAGGCCGGGCGGGGGGGAGGCCGGCGGGGGGAAGGCCGGGCGGGGGGAGGCCGGGCGGGGGGAAGGCCCGGCGGGGGGGAGGCCGGGCGGGGGGGAGGCCGGGCGGGGGGGAGGCCGGCGGGGGGGAGGCCGGCGGGGGGTGGCGGCCCCTCCCCTCCTCTCCCTGGGGCACGGCCACGGGACCCTGAGGACCAGAGCACCAGCCTTTCCGGTCCCGGAAGCCTGGGCGCCGCTCCTGCCCTTCCCCTCCGGACCTGGCTGCCGGCCGGCCACCGCCCAGGCCGCCGTCCGGGCAGGCCCGGTGAGTCAGGCCCAGCCCAGCCGCCCGAACCGGCCGCCCAGCGGGTCACGTGGCGCCTCCATCGGCCCAGCCCGGCCTTAGCTGCCCAGCAACGTCCATCCCGCCTTCGAGGCCGTTTTCCTTCCGGTCCTGGGCTATTTATTTATTTATTTTAATTTTTATTGATTTTTACAGAGAGGAAGGAGGAGGGATAGAGAGCCAGAAACATCGATGAGAGAGAAACATCCATCAGCCACTCCTGCAACCCTCCCACTGGGGATGTGCCCGCAACCAAGGTACATGCCCTTGACCGGTTAGGGCTGGTCCTGGACTTTTTAAACTTGAATTTAAGAATGTTAGTCCATCCTGACTGGATTGCTCAGTGGATAGAGCACTGGCTGCAGACTGAAGGGTCCCAGGTTCCATTCTGCTCAAGGGCATGTACCTTGGTTGCGGGCACATTCCCAGTAGGGGGTGTGCAGGAGTGGCTGATCAATGTTTCTCTCTCATCGATGTTTGTAACTCTCTCTCCCTCTCCCTTCCTCTCTGTAAAAAATCAATTAAAAAGACACACACATATATATATATATATATATTTTTAAGAATTCGAGTCCAGTTTCTTTGGTCTGGGCCGGGGGAAGGACCCTCTGGTGCAGACGGTGTCTGGCTGCCGGTGGCAGCGGACGGACAGGGTCACAGTGTCGGGTGCACAGGCCGGTGAGCGGGTGGAGCTCCCGGGCGCTCACGCTGAGGACCCTCTGTCCATCTGACGGCGACCGAGCGAGACAGGGTCCCAGCTGCACCCCGGAGCCGGCCTGGTACGGGGCCGCTCTGTAAGGGCCGTCCCGCCTCTGAGCCCCCCCCAGCCCCCGGCCATTTGTCGTTATTTTGTGTTTGGATCCCATGGGGAGGGGCCCTCGGCGTCTTTCTCTGTCTGACTCCGTCACCCCCCGGGGTCCCCCCCCTCGCACCCCCGCCTCCCCCGGGCCCGCCCCTCCTCGCCCCAGTCCCAGGCCGGGCGGCCCCACCACTGCCCCCTCCCCGGGGCGCGGGGCCTTGGCATCCTGGCCGCTGTGAGCGACGCTGTGTGTGGGGGACCCGCCTTGTCCGGCCCGGCCGCAGCCAGCGGGGCCGTCCCCCTGTCTCCCCGGAAAGCCCTGGATGGCGGGCCTCTGTGTGCGGTGAGCACCGCCGGCTCTTCCTCTCCCTCCCAGCCCACCCTCTCCGTCCCCCAGAGAGCGCGGGGGCGCGGGCCTTTCTCCATGGCTGTCAGCTGGGCCTGGGTGTGGGTTCGATCCACAGGACGGGGTCGTGCAGGAGGCAGCTGGTCCAGATTCTCTCTCCTCAGAGATGTTCCTCCCTCTCCTCCCCTCCCTCTCTCCCTCCCTCCCCCCTCCCTCTGGAATCAATAGAAGTTGTTTGTGTTTTCAGGGTCTGGAAGGAGCAGGAGGTCTGGCCTGGGAGTGTCCTGGCTCCTCTCCAGCTGGCCCTGGACCGGGATCCCCCACCCCCACCCCTCCCCCCACCCCCTCCCCACCTCCCAGCCCCCCACCCCATCCCCACCCCATCCCCACTCCCCTCCCACCCGCACCCCGGACCCCCCACTCCACCCCCAGCCCCATCCCCGCCCCCCACCCTCACCCATTCCCACTGCGGGGCGGTCTGGGGCGCCTCCGGGTCCCCAGAACCCGGATGGGCGGGGCGGCCTGAGGCCCGGAGCACTTACCCCCGCGGGGGAGGGATACGAGGGTGGGGGGGAGGCCGGGGCCCGTTCGCCTGCCCACAGCGGGGCCACCGCCTGCCTCCGCCCGGGTCCGAGGGGCCGCAGGCCGGGCCTGGGGAGCTGAGCCTCCGCCCAGCGGCGCCGGCGCCCCGGGGTTCGGACCCGGTGACCCAGCGGCCGCCCATCGCCCCGGGGTTCGGACCCGGTGACCCAGCGGCCCCCCATCGCCCCGGGGTTCGGACCCGGTGACCCAGGGGCCCCCCATCGCCCCGGGGTTCGGACCCGGTGACCCAGCGGCCCCCCATCGCCCGGGGTTCGGACCCGGTGACCCAGCGGCCCCCCATCGCCCCGGGGTTCGGACCCGGTGACCCAGGGGTCCCCCATCGCCCCGGGGTTCGGACCCGGTGACCCAGGGGCCCCCCATCGCCCCGGGGTTCGGACCGGGTGACCCAGCGGCCGCCCATCGCCCCGGGGCCGGGCGGGCCGAGGTGCGGGCGGGGCTCGGAGGCCCCCCCAAAGCTCAGCCTGAGGGCGCCTCTGCCCCCCCCCCCCGTCCTGCTGGGCCCCCCTCTGCGGGGTCCCCCGCCTCCGGGTCCCGCTGAGGCCCCCCCCCCCGCCCCGCTCACGTGACTTCGGGGAAACAGAACCTTCTCCCCCAAAGGGGGGCCTGGGAGGGGACGCCGCGCCCCGCCCCCCTTCCCGTCCGCCCCCAATTTCTGGTCCGTCCCCGCCCACAGCCCGGGGGTCCGCTCTGCCCCGGCCCTGCGCCCCGCCCCCCCGGCCCCCCTTTCTGCGGCGGAGGGTACGGGGGGGGGGGTAGGTGGAAGGTGGGGGGTGGTAGGGGGTACGGGGGGTAGGTAGAAGGTGGGGGGTGGTAGGGGGTACGGGGGGGGGAGGTAGAAGGGGGGGGGTGGTGGGGGGTACGGGGGGTAGGTAGAAGGTGGGGGGTGGTAGGGGGTACGGGGGGGGGTAGGTAGAAGGTGGGGGGTGGTAGGGGGTACGGGGGGTAGGTAGAAGGTGGGGGGTGGTAGGGGGTACGGGGGGGGTAGGTAGAAGGTGGGGGGTGGTAGGGGGTACGGGGGGTAGGTAGAAGGTGGGGGGTGGTAGGGGGTACGGGGGGGGGTAGGTAGAAGGTGGGGGGTGGTAGGGGGTGAGGATGGGGATGGGGGTCCTGGGACCCTCTGCCGCCCCCTGGCGGCGCCGGGAAAGGGGTGGCCGCCTCCGGACACAGCGCAGGGCTGCCCTGGCCCGGCTCCCGGGCCCCCGCCCGGCCGCGCCCCCACGCGGGCGCCGGCGGTGCGGCCTCTGCAGCCTCGCGCGGTCCCACGTCGCCCCCTGGCGGCCGCCGGGCGCACTGCGGACGGATGGAGGATGAGGGGGGCCCAGAGGAGCGGGACCGGATGCTGGCGGCCCCCCAACCCCGGAAGGAGCGGGGACCCCCAAGCTGAGCAGCGGCCGCAGCCCTGTGACCGCGCCCTGAGCCCGGGGGCCAGGGTCCCCCATGAGCCCCCCCCCCCGGGACAGGCGGTGTCAGGTTGGTGCTCAGCATAGACTAATGACAGTCTGTTCATCACCCCCAAACGGCCACCTTAGGGCCCTTCAAAAGGAGGGTCCCCAGTCCGCTGTCCCGGAGCACGTGCACCCCCCGTTCTCCTCCCCCCCCGGCCCCCCAAACTCCCGGGACCCAGGAGGCCTGCACTGGCGGCAGCAGCTGTCGGTCCCACCTGGGCAGGCGGGGTGGCACGGGGTCTCCTCCGGAGGGCGAAGGGGCGGTCCCAGGGGAGGACCTCCGGTGCCAAGGGCTGCGGTCTCCCGACTGACTGGGCACCAGGCAGGGGCATTGCTCCGGGCAGCAGCCCTGACCTCTGGCCTCAGCTGGGCGGTTTTGCTGATCTGGGCCTGGAGGTGAACTGTAACTGAGGCCCCGATGTTATCTTAGGGGCAGTGAGTGGTCTGGGGGACCCCAGCCCAGTTCACCCAGGTCTGTCCCCTCCGGGTCCAGGCCGGGGGCACGGAGCTCATAGCCCCCCCCCCCCCCGCTCCTCCAGGCGGGCCGGGGCCGGGCACTGCTGGCCGGGTCTCCCTTCACTCGCCTGGGGGCAGGCGGCCGAGCTGGGGTCCCCCGAGGCCCAGCACAGGCCCCCGGAAGACAGGCGCCTCGCACCACCCTGCCCAGCCCGAGCGGAGTCAGAAACCACACAGTGTGACCTGGAAAGTTTACTATAAAGAACTCGTTACCTACTCGGGCAGTGCCGCTGAGTTTCAAGAATACCCAGGGTGAGAGGGGGTGCCCCCTGAGAGGGGGAGGCCCCGCGAGGTGGGCGCCTCCATGGGTTGCCTGAGCCAGTTCCGGGCGAGCGGGCGCCGTGG